AGTCACATCCACCATTAAAAAAAATAAAACTTTCGACAACATTCAGCAGTCAAGGAAAACTACATGTACAAGAAATAAAAAATAATAATTCGATAACGCTAAGTCTGCCAACATGTATAGGGGCAGTGCGATGGACACTTACTTGTCCACAGTTTGACGTTATCCTGACCCACTGTAGGGAGGATTTGCCTGAAACGCCACTCTAAGTAGGTGGATTGCGCCTTCGTCACTGCCCCCCGACTTCAGTCTGGAAATTTTATGTCTGACAAACACGTAGGAGCCGTGGTAGTTCAGATCGTTAACGCTCGCTGTAAATATAACAGAACGCGAGTAACCAGGGTTTGATCCCCGCCGGCACCAATGAAATTGTTCATTGCAATTTTAAGTGCTGATTTACCAAGTACTCGGCGGTGAAGGAAAACATCGTGAGGAAACCTACATGTCTGAGGAATAAGAAAAAAATATTTCGAAGACATGTGAAGTTCGCCAACTCGCATTGGGGCGGCGTGGTGGACTCTTCCTTGCCCTAAAACCCTTTCAGAAATGAGGGGAGGCCAGTGCCCAATAATGGGACGTATATAGGCTTTAACTTTACTTTTTTTTAAACACGAGAGACTCAGAGAGATTATCTCCAAGACTTGAAGTCTAATATTTAAATTTGTGGGAACTCTGCAGTCTGTGAATATGTTCAAGACTGTCCTCGCCTTACATTAGATTTGATAGACCACAAATCCTCGCAAAAGAACACCGATTCCTACCAAGGATGATTCGCGAGGCTATTAAAATTAAAAAAAAATATCCAAAATTCAATAGAGTAGATGCACGGCTGCTACTAATCTGCTTGGGATTCGTTAATTAATAAAATTAAGATACTGTAATCTTGTTCTGCGTATATGGTAACAAAAATTTATATTCAAAAGCTGAAGGTAACCAGACTATGACATCTTGGCGTTAATGATGACATGTGGTACAAGTAGTAAAATTAAAAATTTTGTATAACCAACTTCAATTTCAATAAAATGAGAACATTATCAATGTAGTTGAAATCGATTAAATATGCATTATTAAAGATAATTTAAATCAGATCAGGTCAGATGAGAAGCACCAGCTTTCAAATAAAAAAAAGAATCATCAAATTTGGTTCACCTGGAAAAAAGTTCTGAGGTAACATCATGCAAAAAATACAGTTGAATTGAAAACCTCGTCCTTTTATTGAAGTCGGTTGATAAAGAAAATATAATATGTAGTTTTTGTGTTCTTGTTCTGTTGTTCTTTAGTTAGAGCGACTTCATTTTAAAGAGGTATTATTAAAAAAGTTGTTCATGTAATTGTGTACACATGTATGTAGTGAAACTTCTTTATGACATCATTATTCTTTTACTATATATTTTAAATAAATAGGTTATTTAATAGTATATTCCTGCAACCCTGGCAGTGAAATGTTACTACACGAAAATGTTCTTATAATTTTAATACCATACTAAATTTCACAACTCCGTCGAAAAAAAAGTTTCTTTTCAAAAGTAACATTTTACAAATGGAATGCCGTATTGTGGTGGTATAGGAGACTTTGGTATCTTAAGTCATTGAGTGAGAGTTGTTAGTTGCAGAAGGAATCTGAAACAGATCTGCTGTAGCATCTTCCTGATAACAATTCAATCTAGTAGTAAGAAAATAGTGTCATTGGGAATTAGCATTCCAAGTATGGCAATCAATTAGATGGGCTGTATTGCGTGTATGGACATACCGACCGATATACCCACATAGCCCAACGCATAAGTAAGCCGAAGTGACAATGGGTCGGTCATATAGCTCGAAGTACCGACAACCGATGGGAAGGATGGTTCTCGATTGGTAACCACTTAATAGTAGTCGATGTTTATGCTGGCCCACCACTAGATGAATGTGTTGATGGTATGATATGCACGAAGTTGATGGATGCAGGTGGCTCAAGACTGTGCTTTACGGGAGGCCTATGTTCACCAGTGGACATGTGAAAGGCTGTAATGATGATAAATGTATGTACTTGGTAAGAGATACAGAAGTCGCCTTTAGATTAACTAGTTGGATAAATTGGAGGAGTGGGTTTGAAAAGAGGGGGTGGAAATCCCTGTCAAAACTAGTTTTAAGAAAATCTGCAATCAAAAACACTTTGTTACTGGCTAAACTGGATTTTAATTAGTTTTCACTTGGCAAATCTAGTTTTACCTGAGCCTAGCACGATAAACTAATTGTTAACAAATTTCCACATCTCAACCTGAAAAATCGATTATTCAAAAAGTATAAATACATTTATTTGTATATTTATAAAACAATTATTTTCTTCAAAAATATAGTCATTAAATATTTTTGATCTAATGGTTAAAATGTAGCACTACAAACAAAAAATTTTATTAGTCCGTAATCATCTATTTTTTTCAGTTGTGAACTCTGTTAACCCCTTTATTGTAAATTTCATTGAAATAGTTAGTCATTTTTGAGAAAGCGATTACAAATAAATAAATTTTCTACTACACACTAAAATGAATTCGCTCCAACTAAAGAACAACAGAACAAGAACACAAAAACTACAAATATTCCCCTTTTCAACCGACTTCAATAAAAGGACGAGGTTTTCAATTCAATTGTATTTTTTTGCATGATGTGTTACCTCATAACTTTTTTCCAGGTGAACCAAATTTGATGAATTCTTTTTTTCATTTGAAAGCTGGTGCTTCTCATCTGACCATTGGTTTTTAAATTATCTTTAATAATGCATATTTAATTGATTTCAACTACATTGATAATGTTCTCATTTTATTCAAATTGAAGTTGGTTATACAAAATTTTTAATTTTACCACTTGTACCACATGTTGGTTACGAATTGTGTTGACCAACCTTTTGATATTAGATTACTCAAATCATGTCATGAATGTAACCTTACAGAAAACACTGACTTCACTGTATATTTGTTATTGCTTGTCAAACCAGTGTCATACTTTCAGAAAACAGACTTGTTTTGATGATAAAAGCCACTGCATTTAGAATTATATTAATAATAATACTGAGCATAGTAAAGTAATTAATATGTTCAGAATAAAACACAGAGGTTGAATATTGTTATGTATTAAGCTTGGTAGCATGACAAAAGACAAAGACTTCATAAGTGAATATTAAATTACCTACATTCAATTTACTTTATTAGTTAACAAGTACCCCCAAATAAAAAACAATAAATCTTTGAATATGACAGTAATCATTTATAGTTTTTGTATTTTAGCATGGTGCAAATGATGAATTCTTATTTTTCTTACTTTTTTATATATTGTTGTACTTCATGGATGGGTACCCACTTACGAGAGTGATGTGTTACACTAAACTATGCCATGGCATAACAAACAACCAGACTATCAAGAATGGGTTTAGAAATAAATCAAATATATACAAATCACGTAAATATTTATTGAAATTGTAACTAATTGTTCAACAAATTTTGATTTAAAGAAAAAATTGCACATAGATGAATATGCAGTGTTGGAAACACAAATACATGGATGATAAATTATTAGTTGGTCAGCTCAGGCAAAAAGAATAATTAAAAATGTATCAAAAAGACTTGGGTACAAAAACATATTTTGTATTTTTATTAATTACATTAGATTTAAAAACCAAATTCTCCATAATTTTTACATTCCGTCCCGATATTTAGCCTATTGGAACTGGCAACACTAATACACATATAGAGAAAGGTGCTAGTACATGTACCTTGAAAAGATACCAGTGCAGTCAACACCGCACTGAAAATTACAGATGCTTTATTTCTTTAAATGTTAACATGAATGTTGCAATTAACATAAAATATAAGATGATTTTTATTTTCTAATCAATACATATCTATAGTTATACATTGAAGTGTCTGTTTGTAATTTCAAAATACCAGCCTTTACTAAATGCATATGAAAATTTATACTGTATTTATAACAAAAGGCAAACACAATTTTTAAAATAAATTGTCTGTCTGTCTGTTTGTTTCAGCTTATAGTGGACACTAGCAGATAGCTGATGTTATAAGAAGTAACACAGGCTTCTTTTATTTTAGAAAATGAATTAGGATTCCGCGCAAAAAAAATTAAAACCTATAAAATCAAATTATAATAAACAACATGCGAACGAGGTCGCAGGAACAGCTATTATGTAACTATTATGTCATAATTTGTATTAAACTTTAACTTAATTTTAAATGCATTGTAGTTTATAAGGAAATATGTTTTGGTTTTAATTTTAATTTTTATATTTAGTTTAATTTTATTTTTAGTTAATCGCCTTTTTAAAATTGATTTAACATTGTTCTATCTCTAGACACTCCTAACTGTAAGCTGTCACCTGCACCATGCTATAAATCAAAGATTTATAGTTAAGGAAGTCACTATTGTACTAAATTAGTTTTAATTAATTATTGTAATGATATAGTTATTAAATGTCATTGAGACATATTTGTTGTTTTTATAAAGCTTCAGCACCGCTCATGAAACTTAACTATCTAGTAAACTCGTTCTTAGTTCTAGTTTAGTAGATTATAGTTCTTGCATAAAACATACAAAATAAAACTCATGACACATTACTTGTTCTCATTTAATGTACCTATATTAACAAAGCAATATTTTTCATATTTTACGAGTATCAGTTAGGCAATAATTAAGAAAACTATGATGATAAATAAACAACAAATGTCTATAGTAGATGGGCACCTAACAATAATCTTTATTTTGCATGATTAAAAAGAAAAACTATTTCAATTTTGTATTCAGAAAACACAAAGCAAACCAATGCAAATCATCAACAAAACAGTTTAGAACAATAGCCAGAAATGGATAGATCACGCCAGTCGCGATTAAACAGCGTGACCAATTATGCAATTCTCAAAAAATTACCACCAAAGGCACCTTTCACTTTTCCATTGTTTTCTTACATTTTTCCTATCATAAAGAAGCATATAATGATGGCATATAAAAAATAATACCTGCAGCGAAGTGCAGAGGTGTAGATTTACGCCCAGCTGTGTCTCTAGCATTAACTGTTTGGGGTGTTATGAGCTTCTTCACTCGAGCTGCGTCTCCCGTTTTACAAGCTTCGAACAACTCTCGAAGCGGGTCTGTGGGAGCTGGAAGAGCGTCCAATGCCGATCCGAGTAAAGAACGGCGGCTGGACATGTTAAATTAATTTCTCGCATGTATGAATGTTGTGGATCCCTTTTTACTCTGGCATTTTTGATAAAATAATATCAAATGAAAACACACGTACTAACAAGCCCAGCTGCTTTCAAGATTCTTTTGACAACCAATTTGTTGCCATATAATAATAAAGTTACCAAATACATGGTAGAGCCATGCTGCAGTTACATTAGTAGTATAGTTGCAGCACGAATGGGTCGGCTCGACCGGGGAAGGACCACTTTAAAGTAGCTTAATGCTGCTGTGTTTCGTATGGTGAGTGTAGAGAAATGGAGAACCTTTTTACTGGAAACGAGGCATGCAATCTTAGTCCTCACGAGTGACAACGCATGTGCATTTTGAATTATATTTGAGGATGGATGTAGATGTCAATGGGCCGCAGCAACCACTTACCATCAGGTGGACTGTGTGCTCATTTGTCACCCTACCCTATAAAAAAAACGTGGTGAATATAATAAATAGTAGCACCGCTCTACCGAAAGCCCAGTCGTTCCATAGCCATAGATTGATATTGACTGGGCTGAGCTGAACCTGTTTCGCGCAGGGAAATCCCCCTTTATGCAAAGTGTCAAGCAAAAATTTGTTCCAATCTAACTACGAAAACGAAATATCACTTGCCAATGATAATAGTATGGATTCTGGTTAGTAATTAGTATATCGATTTAACTATACAATATGTAAAAAAAACCCTGTGGTTCCCGTTAAGTGTGTTATCAGAATCAGTATCCAAGCATAAAGAAATATTTTTTTTCAAAAAAACACATTAAAAAATAATTTTAATGAAAAAAAAATTAATTTGCAAATTGTATGTGGTTTTATTTCCTCTAACTCACACGAGTATCGGTAATGCGGGGTCTTTGACAATCCTCTTACTCCTAGGCTGATGCAGAGATAATAAAACCATATACAATTTGCAAATTAATTTTTTTCTTTAAAATAATTTTTTTATTGTGTTTTTATTTTTTTTGAAAAAAAAAATTATTTCTGTACGCTTGGATACTAATTCTGATCACGCAGTTAACGGGAACTAAAGGGTTTTTGCTACATGTTGTATATGCCACCCTTCACGTTCTTAAGCGGGGAATTCACTAGACGGACTTTCGCAGGGGCATGTCTGCAGACATGCCTGCCGGACTTCGCTACTATAGGTCTGTGCAAATTTTGATAGTGTAAGACCGTCGCAGTCGTTCTGACAGATTTGCCTGTTGTCATCCAGTGAATGATAACTGCGGGCTGTCTCTTCACAGACAAAAGAGCGGTAGCAACCAGTGCAGACGGCCTATTATTATTATTTAACGAACTTTGGGGATTTTTAATTTGCAATGCTTTTAATAATAATAAAATATTCTGGGAAGAGTTTATACGACTATATATCCATGCGCAAGTAATTGTACAGGCCTCCTGGTTCATCAATTTCTAATTCTTTATGTAAATTGATATGGCTAAACTTATTTCTATTTTTATACCATTATTTATACCAAGTTAATAATAAATAAATAATATGCATTGCAATGTCTAGGTTGTCATCTTAATGTGCATACACAATTAATCACGTAGCCAGTCTAAAACAAACTGATGAGTATGTGTAGTGTATTGCGGCAGACATGCCCGGACAAAGAGCCCGTAAGCTTCTCCGTCTAGTGAAATCCCCGCTTTACTCCTTTGAACTCTAAATGGTCGTCTTTATCAGACTGTAAAAGTCTATTGCTCAACATGGTGTAGTGTAGACCCCACCCATCCACCGCGTTCGCTACTAATCACCGTCCGCCGGGCGTCGGCTTCCGCCTGGGAGGGAGGAGTACAGCGCGTCGCTTAGCAGTGGGTGTACGTGCTGTTGGAGCGAACTTGGCTTTACGTCGAGCTTCAAGATCGCCCCTGGCCCCTCCTGGGATGATACTACCTCAACGGCGGCTAAACCCGGCGTGCTGTTGTCAGGAGAGTACACACTTGTCGGTGACATCGGCTCCACGTCGAGATCCGTCTCCGTGGGGCTTTGAAGTCGCTGACCCTTCGGCAGATCCCTTCCCAGAGGCGTGAGATACACCACGAACGCCAAGATGGAAATAAACTACACACTGGACAGGAGCTCAGGCTCATGCTCATGCTCTGCTGCTACTCAGGAGCGCACGCCTGTCAGTGGAATTGGCTCTAAGTCGAGATTCATCTACATCGTGCCTCCGTGGAGCTTTGTGACCGCTGACCCTTGGGTAGATCCTTCCTAGGGGCGCGAAATACGTCAAAGCTAAGACAGCCAACAATGCCATTCCTGAACGGCTCCCAAGACCGGCACATTGTATTGTGCTGTAAGGATTACCCGGGTAATGGGTAATGCCCCGAGGCCCGTAACATGCTGGGCAGAAAGCCCATGCAGAATACAATGATTAAGCCCCAAGACAGTATATATTATTGTAGATTGTAGCTGTTAAGGAGGCATTATAATTAAAGTTTAAGTACCAACAGCACGTCTCCTTCATTGACACCGTTCCTACATTACATGGCAACTTTGCCAGGTGGTGCGCTGCGACAATGCACGCGCACTGCTGGGCTTAGTTAAAAGGTGGGAAATAAAATTTAAATATTTCCAAAATAAATAGTAAAGACATTAGTGAAACAATTGAAAGATAAAAATGGGGTTGACCCTACAGGCCATCCCTGGAACTTCCCGCTAATTATAAATGCAAAGCGTTCCAAATTTCACCAAATTATGACGTTGAATATGAAATATCGGAGTAATTTTAAAAAAAAATCAAAACTTTTCGTTAACGATATTGCGCGTACGAATCAACTGATTTTGGCCGGACCGGCGGCGATCGACGTGGTTTTTTAAGGTTAAAAGCTGATTAGTTTTTGAAATCGATCGGTAAAGCCGTTTAAAAGTTAGTCCATAAAAACAGTTTTTAAAAAATTTGTTATTTTTGAGATTTCTCAAAATCTACCGGTCCGAATTAGTTAAAATTCATAGGAAATCTAAGTTTGATGAAACACTTTGGAAACCCGCTTAGTTAATTTCAACTATGATGACACTATGGCAATATACTCCTATGATAGTTATGAAGAAACGGCCCCCAGTCCCCAGCAGCCCCGCTATTCCTGGCTACGGTGGTGACCATGGTAACGGCGGGTATGAGGTGCTAAGAATCTCCGGTGGAGGTACGGTTACCACCTACGATGACTCGACCTGGCAACATATAACGCATGCACCCTGAGGCCTGACGAGAAGATCTTGGAGCTGGAAGAAGAGATAGACAAGTTTATACGTGGTAGAGCCATGCTGCAGTTATATTAGAAGTATAATTGTATCACGAATGGGTCGGTTCGACCGGGGAAGGACCACGCTCTCACAGAATACCAGCGTAAAACAGTAGCTTAATGATGTATTATAAGATACCTACGCTCATTGCATAACCATTGTATTATATCAATGTCATTCAAAAGGAATGGTTGGCAGACGTTTAGATTTGTTTATTGTCGCAAGAAAAGAAAATTGTGTTATTTTAACAAGAAAATATGAAAATATAATTAAAAATAAACGTAAAAAATAATTTCATCATATGATCATGCCTAATGTCAACATAACTTGTACAATTTGTTACTATTTATATGAATGCAAGTAAAAAATTGTACCCTAAAATGATATTTTAAGTTTCTTACCGGTACAGCAATCTACATTATTACATCGTTAATAGTTATATCACTTTTATATAGATCGAAAAAGATTGCTAAAAGTATTATATCGTGTACACAAAATAACTGAAAATGACATTAACAGCCATCAGCTTTACACAACCATACATTTATTTAAAAATTCAAAAGAACATGTAATATTTTAAGTAGGCTATTATATAAATTAAAAAATTTATGACTTGAAAAAACTAAAACTTATGATAGTGAATTGTTTATAACTCTTTTCAAAATTTTGATTCGGAAAAAATTAAGAAATGTATCAGTGTTATTTAACTATAAATTATGGAGAAATGAAGTACGTAAAATTTAATCTGTTATACTATTATTTCATTATTTTTTGGCAGGACAAAGTAGTAAAAATAATATAAAAGTATAACTGAATAAAGGTAAATACGAGGGCGGCACTGAAAATTTCGGGAATCAAGGAAGTGACACAATATTACTATTTAAAAATGTATTTATTGCTTTTCGAAGTATTCTCCGCGAAATTTGACACAGTTTTCCATACGATGGAACCAATCATTGAAGCAAGTCCACTGCTGAACATAGGCCTCCCCCAAGTAATGTCACACAGCACGGTCCTGAGCCACCTGCATCCATCGACTTCCTGCATGTCTTACCAGATCGTCACTCCATCTAGTGGGGGGTCGCCCTACACTACGCCTACCGGTACGAGACTGCCCCTCGAGAACCTTTTTTCCCCATCGGTTATCGGTTCTTCAAGCTATATGGCCGTCCCATTGCCACTTCAGCTTACTAATCCGTTGGGCTATGTCGGATCCTATAATATTTCAGCGCAACTTTTTTAATAGGATAGGGTGACAAACGAGCACACAGTCCACCTGATGGTAAGTGGATGCTGTGGCCCAAAGACATATACATTTATTCTCGATTAAGAATCGAAACGCAGATGCGTTGTCACCCCTGATGACTAAGATGGAATGCCTCGTTTCCAGTAAAAACAAGGTCTCCGGATCTTTACACTCACCATACGAAACACATCAGTATTAAGCTTCCATTTCACGCTGGTATTCTGTGAGAGCGTGGTCCTTCCCCGGTTGAGCCAACCCATTCGTGCTACAACCATAATGTATAAACTATAAATAGGTATATACATATTTAAGTATCTACTCATTTATATTTGATAACCGTTATGTTAAAATATAAATTACTGGGAAACTGTCCAGTGAATATTTCTCCATAGCTTGAAAATGTAACTTTCCATTCTTATTCTTGAGAAAAATTGTGTAAGTATATCGGTAGACTCACCTCTTCAGAGGTTATTGAGATTTTGT